TCCAGCGGCCTCGCGGGCGGCCTGAGCCCGGCTCCGCGCTCTGTCGCCATGGAAACGTGGCCTGCGGTTTCCATGGTGACGGCCCCCCACCGGGCGGGGACCAGCGCTGGGGAGGATGCTGAGCGGGAGGCAGAGCGGCCGGGGGGGGGGTGCCCCGCGGGGAGAGGGCCCCCCACAGCCTTGCCGCCGCTGCAGCCTCCCCGTGCCCGGCTGCGGGCCAGGACCCCTCCTGGCACCCTGGCACCCTGGCACCCTGGCATCCTGGCACCCTGGCACGCGGCCGCACCTTCCTCCGGAGGTGACCCCGCCTGGGCCGGGGCCTCCTGGACGCGGGGAAGTCCCGGGGCCTGTGCCTCGGAGCGCTGCTCCCCGCAGGAGTGGTGGTGTCTGCCGGAGAGCCAGCACTCTGGGAGGCTGAAGCAGGAGGATTTTAAGTTGGAGCTTAGGCGCTGCTTCCGTGCCCCGCGCCAGCTCGCCCTCGCGCCGCCGCCCTGTGCCACGTCCCCTCGGCTCTCCGGGGTCCTCCCCGCACGCCCGTGGGGGCCACCCGCCTGGTCAGCAGCTCTCCTTGCCGTCCGCAGCCCGACACCAGAGCAACCCTAAAACTATTTGGCTGCAGGCCGGCTGGGGGGCGCACTGCAGGAGGCTGAGGCGGGAGGATCGCACATGTGATCCTAGTCTTGGCAATGTAGCAACTTAGCCAGACCCTGTTTCAAAACGAAAAATGTAAACAGGGCTGGAGATGTAGCTCAGTGTGAAGGCCCTGGGCTCCGTCCCCAGCTCCACAAGGCGACCCAGCAGGGCGCTGTGCTTTGCCGGGGTCACCGGGCCTTGGCGCCCCTGCTTTCTCTCCGGCAGGATTGAACCTGGCGGGTCTGCTCCTCGGGGCCGAGCGGTGCTCGCGGGGAGACCGCAGCTGATTCTGCGAGTGCGGCGCGGCTGCCGGTGCTGGTGCAGCTGTGACCCTCCATGTTCAGGAGCAGAGCACCCTGGCGGGGCTGCGGCGCGGAGCTGAGCAGACTCGCTGTCTTTCTCTGGCTGAACGTGACGCGGTTCTGCCCGGAGGAGGATGAGAGAAGTGAGCGCCTTGCTGCCACCCGCCATGCAGGGCCGCCTCCCGGGCTCCTCGCCAGCGGTGACACAGTGCCGGGGTCGCGCGGCTGCCGGCGCCATCCACACGCAGCCAGCGGCCCCTCCAGAGAGCGTGCGGTCTGCGCTTGTGGGGTTTTGCGTGTTCCCATTTTTCCTTTTAGTTCTGTGTATTTTCTTTTTCTTTTTAAATTAAGTCCATAGTGAGTTCAAGGCGAGTCTGGAACACACAGTGAGAAAACAGCCTCAAAAAAAAAAAAAAAAAAAAAAGCACATCAGAATTCCAGTATGCCCCAAATTTCGCTTGTCCTACCAGTGAAATTTCTGTCTGAAAGAGCTGCGGATACTTCCAAACAGAGAAATAAATAAGAATGCTGCTGAACAAAATCACCACGCAAACAAGACAGTCAGGAGGATGAAGATGCAGGAGATGAGAACAGCTGCACAGGGCTTCGATTTTTTTAACAATAAGAACCCAGATTTTTCCAAGTAAGAAGTTAAAAGCAGAAGGAACAGGGAGTTAGTAGCAATAAAAGCCGGCACTCGTCCCGGCGACTGGGGGGAGGGCAGCCGCTGCATTCCAGGAACTGGCCGGTCTGATAAGAGCGAGCTTGGCAGGCTCAAACGCAGGGTCTGGCCTGCTCCTCTCAGAAGTGTGATTTAGTGGTGTTTACAAAGAACCCTCGGGCCGCACAGGCAGTGATAGGAACCATCTCCGGACGGCCAGGCTCACAGCAGCTTTGTGGATTGCTGCTTGTAAGCTCTTTCTGGCCAGAACAGCTCTGCTTTCACCCAGAGCCCGCAGGCCAGTAAACACAGAGCCTCGCCCTGCCCTCAGCTCCGGATGCGCTCACTCGGAGGGCGGAGTGTCCCAGTGAAAATGCTTCGTGCGGGGCTGCAGAAATATTTGCTCTGGAGACGGGAGACCTTACCCTCACAACGCAGACTCAGAAAAAATCATCCAAGTGAGAAAGCAAACGTGCTTACTGAAACAAAACCGCTTATAAAGGGGTTGTCACCATGCTGGGAGAAATATCCACAAAGCCGGTAACAAGCATGCAACCACAGGCTGAGCGCAGCTCTGGGGCCTGCGTCCCAGTGAACCTCACAGGCCGGGTGGGGGCTGGCTGGGTTTGTTATCTCGGAGAGCCTGAGAGGGACTTCGGAAAGCTCCTAAAGTTGTCTCTGAGGGTTTACTTCACAAAGTAAATCCTGGACGGCCGTAACCCACCAGAAACACCTCCGCCAGTGAGTGACGGGTAGTTCTTTTGGAGGGGGCTGGTACGTTTTTAAAAATTTCTGTTGGGGCCTATTTGCAGTGCGCCATGGTGACTCGTGTGCGCTGGTGCAGGGACCGAACACATCTCACTCTTTTCTTGGTCTCCAGCCCCACCCGTCCCCCTCCCTCCCAACAGCGCAGAATGGCATTTGCCCGGTCTCTGTCCCCTTCCCAATTGCTATGGATCTCTCTCCGTTTCCCCTTGTTCGTTTTTTATTTTTATTTATTTATTTACTCTTTTTGAGACAGGGTCTTGCTATGCAGTTCAGGCTGGCCTTGAGCTCACTTTGTAGACCAGGCTGGTCTGGAACTCGCAACGATCCTCCCGCCTCAGCCTCCCAAGTGCTGGATTACAGGCGTGCACCACCACATCTGGCCCTGTCTTTTATTCTACTCTTTAATTTATTTAGGTTTCTCATGTAAGAGAGATATGTAAAAACACAACAAATAAGTCCCTTCCCTCAAATAAGAGGGAAATTAAAAAATGGGCAAGTGGAATGAACAGACACTGCTCAGAAGACACACAAGTGGCCAGCAGGACGTGATCCGATGCACGAATCCTGGCCGTTCGAGAAGAGGTTCTGACTTGCTCCAGAGAGAACGGCCACCGTCAAGAAGTCAAACCTCACCTACCGCGCTGGTGAGGCCATGGGGGAAGGAGCCCCGCCATGCTAGGGGCGTGTACAGCACACAGCTCCGTGGGGTTCAGTACAGAGAATCCCCCAGATGACCACTGTCTTGGTTACTTTCCTCTCGTTGCTGGGACAAAATACCTGACACCCAAAATTAAGGAAGGAAAGGTTTATTTTGCTTACAGTTTGTGGAGGTTTCAGTCCGTACTTGGCAGGTTACAAGGCAGAGTGGCACAGGGCAGAGGGCTACAGCTCATGGCGACAGAACACAGCAAAGCAACAAGCACCAAAAGGGAGGAATGGCCTCAAGCAGCCTTTTCCTCTCCCTTACATATGCAAACGATGCACCCCAGGGCGGGTGTAGTTCTCACACCCACAATCAATCAAACTCTAACAGCCTGCCCCATGGCTGCACGAGGCTTTGGGGGGACACACAGACACAAACCATAACAACCGCAACCAAGGTCCCAGGCCGACTGCCCTCTCCACGTTTCGACACAATTGAACATTTTCTGTTTGGGTTCACCTCCTCGGTGGAGTATTTAAATTTTGTTTTGTTTAAAATCCTGGTGAAGACCCTTCCCTGTCAGAGCCCTGAAAGCTGTATAACGGGATGCCCTGGAGTTGGAATTGGAATCTGAGGAGTTGCAGTTCTTTTTTCTTCTTTATTGTCTTTACTTTCTTTTTATTCTGTGTAATAGTTCTGTGTTAATTAATAGTTGGTTAAACTTTGTTTTATTATTTCAAAAAAATTTTTTAAAAAATCGTGGTGAAAGATACAAAACATGAAATGCACCACTTTCACTGTTTTTTGATGCAGTTAGGAATTGTTAGACACGGACTCTGGAAGTATCCGGCAACCGCCACCCTGCACTTTCTCTTCACGGGGGTGCAGAAGATAGAGGGGCCCGGGAGAGCGAACCGGGGCCGGACGTGCTGGCTTTCCCCGCCCCTGTGCACGGCAACCGCCTGGGCTTGTTCTGAGCCCACGTGTGACACCCGCAGAGCCTGGAAAACTCCAGCCCGGCTCCCTGCCAGCCGGCTCCCCCT